CTTCAGATTTTTTAAGAGCAATAAAAGTGCTCGACGAACAGGTATATATGTATATAACCATATAAACACCGAACAAAAAGAAAAAGTAGTGAAGCGGCAAAGTCGACTAACAAAGAAGATATGGATGCTGTGCCCGGACTCGAAAACTATCGCGCGGATCGATAACCGCAGTCACAAAATCATATTAATAGCTACAAAGAACAAGAATTTCAACCGACGTAATTAAAGTAAATTTTACTTTTTATATGCTATCGACAGAAAACTTCAGCTTATACAAGCTGTTGGATTTTTATTGTCAGAAATAAAAAAATAAACATCATTTACATACATCGATAGAGATCGTCGAAGTCTCAACTCACTGAGAGTTTAGATTTCAACACCCGTTTAGGAATGTTGGCATTTTGATCTTCTTCTTTTTCCCATGACTGTTACAGCCAATATGCATAAGAATCGTAAAGCTTAAGAACGGTGGAAGGAAAATAATTTTTATTGATTTTCTACTCTCATTCCTATTATTTTCAATGGAAAAAATAACATGCACAAACGAGAAGATGTTAAATAAACAATAATAAATAACAGAACGAAGAAAATACGAGAGAATCTATGTACATAAAACATTTTAAAATCAGTTTCTTATCAAATATTTTGTGAAACGCATTTTTACTTAATATATTTTACTATAATATTTTACTTAATATATTGAGTTATTTGGAAATGAAATTACATTTATTCTTGAAAGATAAAATCACATGAATTAAAATTAATTAAAATACAAGCTCTTGCTATTTATACCTTAGAAGTTTAAATCTGTAATTAAACTTCTTCAAATTTCAAAGCTAAATGAGTTCATTCTTTGTGTGTATGTGTGTATCTCCAACTATTAAAAAATTTCTTCAACTATCTTTTAGAATACATAACGGCATCCGCATTGGGGTTTTTCTCGGACACTCTCTATAAAATATACCGAGCACGCAGCTGATTCGAATTGTCGTAACGACATCGCGCAGCGTTCATCGTCTCCTTGCGCTCTAATCCCTCTTATTTATTGCCCCCTTCCTCTTTCCGCGTGCGTACTCTGCGCTAACAAGGAAATGATGTAAATATAGATATATACATATAAGCGGGCGTACGCAACGCGCTGCACGCTTGCCTTCCTGCTGTACTTTCCTGCATCTGCACGTGGGTGGCAATCAGCCCGTCTCACCAGTCCCATTGTAACGCAAACGGCGGCTTCTTGCGTTCGCCATTAATTAAGATCCATCCCCGCGAGAGTCGCTAAATAGCCCGACCATTATCCCCCTTTATTGCTCGATTAACGGCTAACACGACAGCGGAACCGCTTCGAATTCCACATTGCGTTTTTGTTTTCCGGCAAAGATTGATTATATGGCCAGTGTAACTTCGGAGAGTTCAAAATTCGATGTGATCCACATTCATATATACAATAGAAATACACAATCAATATAAGATATATTTAGAAGAATGACATCATATATCGTACTAGTTTCAAACTGTACTAGTTTCAATCTGTGTTATACTTTGTATTGCAATAAAAAACTTTGTGAAAAAGAAGTTGTACGACTCTAACTTCACGATCGAGAAAGTACTTCGCGACTTGTCGTTAGCCACCGATTGAAGTTAAAAGTCAAGTTAGAAGTTAAATTAAAGGTTAAACGTTAGTTAACATTTAATGCAGGCTCATTAAATTCTTTTCGGTTGTACATTTATTTCTGCTACGATGGGGTCGTTTGAAGAGCCATTCGATATAATTTAAATGAAAGTATGACAAAAAAGATTATTTTGCTCCAATATTAAATTTTAGACTTAATTAATTGAATTATTTAGAAATTATAAATCTTATTTAAAAATTATTATAAATTCATAAAAAGATACTATAAAAATAGATCTTGCATTAAAACTTCTTGTTAAAATGAGAAAAAATATACGTTTGATTCTCGAGATTATAGTTATTTGTGTTTCTCCTTCTAAGAAACTACAAACTACAATTCCTACGATTACTCGGACTTAGTTGTTTACTGTGTCTTGTTACGATATTGATGCAATAATGGAAAGGAACGATAGTTAACAGTATGTGAATGTATGCCAATCTAGAAGCAATGGGCGTAGTCGAGTAGAACTTCAGGTGGATCTTAAAATGAACGTGAGAACTTGTTGAAGTCGAAGGTCGAAGGTTGAACCTGCTCGGCTGACCACGATAATTGGTCGTACAAGAAATAACATATATTTGAAGCACATAGATAGTTTTCGAAAAGCTAACAATCCACAAAATAAATAGAGATAAAGTAAAAGAATCGGATCATTATTATATCAATGGAATTGATTTAATATCAAAGAATGATAAAAAAAGAATATTTGTCTTCGTAAAAGCATAAATTGATTTACTCTAGTGTATTCATTTCGAATACAGATCTGTCAAAAGAATGTACGAAAGGAATCTAAGATAAAAATAAAAAAAGATAAAGATAGAAAAATACAATTATATCACATATTCTTAGTTAGATAACAGAGAGACTAAAAGCGGACACGATTTCTTTCCTTTCCGACCTGTCTGCAACAAAATAAGATCGTAAATAGCTGTCGGCTGTAAGAAAAATACGTGGAAAAAAGCTAAAAGCGTTTTTCTTTCGAGTTATCCCGGGTAAGGAATGTTCCTCCTTGCGATATGAAATGTGACGGCACGATATCTGTTACTTTCTTAAGCGCGACAAAGCGCAACGCGAATCCTGTGCGGAATAAATTAAAGCGCGCGAACGTAATCGCCGTTCTCAGGAAGAAAGACAAGTGAAATTACCGTACTTAAAGTCGCCTCAGAGTCATCCTGACGGCGGGTCTAGAATAACGTAAAAGTAACATAAAACGTAAAACGCGACTCAAGAGCTGACAGTAACCTGAAACGGCCGGTGAATTCACCCAAGTTTACCCAAGTTTCTCGCGACACGCGAGGCAAAATGCGAGCGGAATAAATGTCCGAGAAAATACATAAAAATTCCACGGAATAATTCACACGACTGATTACGAAATTTTCTCCTTTTCTCGCGACAAAAGCGAACATTTAGAGCCACGACATTTGCATGCTGGCAAGAGAGATATTATTTTTAATTTTCTCAACAACGACGCGAGAAAGTATAAATTATTCAAACAACCATAAATTTACGAAATGTCATCGGCAAGCGTTTATAGTCGCTGTAAATCGCGAGATAGACGAGAGCAGATAAAATATAATGCCGCCAGATTGCATCCGATAAAATAAAATGATGTCGACGAGAGAACCATTCATAGTCGGTCATCTCGTCCACCGACTGAGAAAGCCGTTCGATGTACTTGTCCCGTTTTCTCCTTTCGTCCCCGCCCTCCGTATCGTCACACAAAACGAACGAATGTGTATGTATGTCGTCTATATAGACGACAGGATAATGCCGGGACCGTGTATATCGCAGAATTGACGGAAGAGAGTGAAGGAAGAGTTAGAAATGAAAAAAAAAGCAAAAAGGAAGTACGACTGAATCGCAGCAAGCCCTCCCAGGTGCCGGTTTTTTTGCCAAATCCGTTCGCGTCCATCCTCGCTTTCGTTTCGCCACCGAATCTGTCCGTATAAGGACAGGATAAAGTGAAAGAGGAGAATTGCGAGTTTCGGATCAGCCTGCATATAAACCGATCGAATCACTGAACAAATAGAGAAATCTTAAAAAGAGAGAGAGAGAGAGAGAGATCACAAGATTAAAGCTTCACTGCATATAAACCGATCGAATCACTGAACAAATAGAGAAATCTTAAAAAGAGAGAGAGAGAGAGAGAGAGAGAAAGAGACCACAAGATTAAAGCTTCGAATTTACGACGATAGACGCAAAACGCATTCCTGGCGCTGCGAAAAACTGGATCTGTATCGCATGTGGCCCCCGCGCGTCCATTTTTACATCGTTAATAACAATAAACGGTCGACGGGCTCGTACGTGACAGTGACGTTATCGAGGACCGAGGATAAACAATTGGCCACTGCGCGCCCATAAACGGTGATTTACGAGCGGCATGAGTGCGCGTGAACGCTTTCGACCTTCCATCGACGATCATCTCGATGATCACGCACGGTATATAAACGTCATACGTGCTAACTACAATGCCTATCGAGGAGCGTTTATCAAGAGCAAAGTCGATAATGGCAGACGTAATTGTCCATCGTTATGGTCCTCGTAATGATCGACAATTTTTTTATTATCTTCGCTTAGTTTCCACGCTTCGGCAATTGGCACGCGATTTTCGCAATCATGAATTGCACAATTTTTATGTAAGGAAAAGAAATTTATATATAATTATCATAATATATATTGTAATGTATATGTGACTCAGTCTTTGTGATAGATAGTACAAATCGATTGAGTAAGCGTGACTCGACAAGGCCACAGGCGTTATTTAATCCTTCGCAGATAGAAATGGATAGAGATAAGGTAGTGCACGGAAAAAGAGATAAATAAATATTCAGAGAGATGCAATGGATAATATACTTTCACGTTAGATTAAGTTCTGAAAGAGCCACCATGTGATGTGCAGTATAACACGTGTCATGCATGTCATGCGTGGAAATCTATGGAGATTTCTATTCTACGATAAAAGACACCTGCCGTATACAAAAGAAATGCGAAAAAGAAAATCTATCTATGTTAATTTTGTGAACTGTGTGATCAGTCATCTCTCACTATCATTCCTTCCTAATGTCACGCGACAAAAGTATAGTATAGTGTTTTTGTTTTGATTATGAAATAATCAAATAATTGAAGTCATATATAATTATAGTATATAAGTATTTTTCACATTAAAAGAATTTTGTGTTATTAAAACAAAATTTCGTTGTTTTATTAAAATAAAATTTTACAAGGCAATTAATGTCAATATTATTTTTTCACAGTTCTTGCAATAGTCAATAAAACAAGTAATAATTTTTCAATTAATAAATTATAAATGTCGGAAAGGAAATAAAAACTCACCCAGCAACCGGAGTCATCTTTAGTGCCAATGCTCGGCTGATGCAGAATCCGGCGCCACCCGTGGCGAACCAGAACTTCACCTTTTGCTGAAACACACAGAAGAGAATATAACTTTGAGAGAAGCTCGGCAGAGAAGTCGGCTAGAAATCGCGGGAGCCGCTGTCGTAATTATACGATACATCGATCCGAGATCGGGGTCGAATGATCGATCGTCGCCGAAGCGTACCGGTCGCGCGTTCGACGATCGCAATTAACCGATTAAGGATGAATGACTCGCTTGATGAGAATTAGAGATCGGCACAGATTGTATCTTGACGTATCGTCGAGTGTCACGCTATCTCGGGAGTACAAAATAAGATCGAAGTTATAATATTTCAGCGAACCTACATCGAGACTCAATCCTCGACTTTCGCTTCGAGGACGTTCGCGGTATTGAATGATTTCATCACACGATCATCATGGTAGTCTAATTAATAATTATTCAAAAAAATAAATAACGATATAAAAATATCTGTCAACCGCTGGGCATAATGACGCAGATGATGATAAAAAAATAACGGAGCGTTAGTCTTTTTCCCGATGACCTGGAAACTTTATTCCAGGAAACGTTCTCTTGTGCACGATGGACATAAGAGGTACACACACACACACACGCGTGCGCGCACGCAAGTGCGAAAATACAACGAGTTGAGATACGAGCGATTTCTGGTCGATTGCCGTGGCTGCGGGCTATTATAGCCGGACTTCTAGGCAGCCGAACGTGATCCACGCGGACCGATACTATCTCAATACCGGTATAAGACCGTAGAGAATCAGGCAATGCGCACCTTCTCGAAGGCGTGGTGCACGAATGAACTGAGCACTCTACAAGACAACGGCTAAGATAAGTTTGCACACGTGCGTAAGCAACGTACGCGTTCGCTGATAAAACTATCGCGAGTTCGTGCCTGTTCTCTGAACTACGTCGCAAAACATCGAGAGTTTACATTAACCCGTTTATATTTCACCCCGCATAAAGCAAACAATTTAACGAGGAGCGAATTAATCGAGGTATAGATCTCGAATTAGTCGCGGCGATTAACTGACTTCATTAAACACGCGAAAGAGGAAATCGGTGTCAGGTGATAACACGTAATAACTTAGCCTCGCGAACCGATATTCGACGCAATCCTGGAGCTGCGTCCCCCGCTGTGTATCACACGCTGTTTTTACACAAGCTGGCCCCCTATCAGATGTTATTTTTCTTCCACAAATTTCTGTTCGATTAAATGAGAAAATAAATATTAAGTCCCTTTAATACGTAGTTATATAATTTTTTTTTAAATGATACGATCTCGTGATTTTTACAGAAGAAAACTTTCGAAGCAATTAAAAAATTTCAGGTATACAAAGTATACCTGAGCATGGACGCAGTTTCAAGTTTCAAATATTATCTTTGTATTGTATCTTCATCTCTGAAATTCGTTAGAACCATGAGAAGCATGATGTCAATGATATAACAAAGATGATTCCGATGTAATAACGCAGATAAATATCGGGTATTCATGACGCATGAGATTCGATTGGCAAGATGCAGCGGTGATATTTTTTCCAGATAGTCAACACTTGCTAGATCGGCTGAAAGGTCTCGCGTAAGCGCAATTCGACGATCCAGCAATCAGTCAGTAATTTTAATTATCACGCGCGTATTTACGACTGGGAATCGCTTCATCTCGGACGCGGCAATCTCGGGGGCATCGCGAAGGCATCACCGGTAACGAAGGGACTTACTGATCGACGGCCAAGATTGTGCCGGCGGTCCTCTGACTAATTACATTCCTAACCCGAGACGGGGGCACGTCGCTGAGGGAATAGCGTACGCGAGTAAAGGCCGCACGATTCTATATCCAATTATGTATGGACGATTGGCAGCAGGGGCCCGTAGATATGTTTCGCGATTTGATTGGCCTTCCTCGACCTGTTATCGTCGAACGGATATGCAGTTATTCGGGATTATGGTGTGTGTGTCTCTCTCTCTCTCTCTCTCGCTTTCGATTTAATTACTTTAATATTCTCTTTGCTTAATAACTCTCCGTTGCATCTTCCGATATAACCAAGTTTTCAGCGTCAAATATACTTTTCTTCTACTATTGATATACGATTCTCTCTTTTTTTCAATGAAATAGATTAATTTTTAAACATTTTAACTATTATATTCAAACATATAATAAATAATATTAAAGAGAGAGAGAGAGAAAGCAACAAAGTAAGTTTTATTTAATATGCAGCAGACGCTTATCAAAGCCCAACCGTCAAGAAGAATTCAACCATCGCCTCCAAAAAGAATAGTTGCAATCGTCGATTATTCTCTCGGTGGAACGAATGGTCCGTTCTCGAGATCGTAAAACCAAGACTGAATGACACGGCGAGTAATATCTGATGGAGGGTATGTGGTTGGTCGGTATATTAGGACTAATGAACAGATTAAAGGCCCCGATATGACCCCACGAACGGCAGATGTGCGAAGCTATGTATAATACTAAGAAATTCGCCGCATCCCTATCGTGTGTATAATGAAAAAAAATATATATATATATCAGAAGCGAATCTCAATCTCGCAGCTAAAAAATAGATACCGCGATAGACAATGCATTCTTCTTTGTCGATTTCCTTTCGAAAATCTTTTTCGGATCATAAAACTATTAATAATTTTCTCTCACGATTATAATCGCGCTCGTTATTAATTGCATAAGTTTTTCAAGCAATGTGCGAGATATAAATCTAATTAAATTATCATGAAGCAACGCTCGATCTTTCGGAGCTTATTTTTCTCGCGCGTTATCTCGCTTTGAACGCACCGGCTGCGTTTTACCTCTGCCGCAAGACCAATGGCTTACAATTTGTATGCACAGTCATCCGCACTTCCACATGGATTTATCAACCTGATATCTACCGTCCGGGAGGAAAGCCTATTGCTCTTGTTTCGAGTTTGCTCGAGCGTATCCAGCGGCATATAAAACGCAATAGAGATGCCGCGCGATGTTTCCATAAATTCCCTCGTGTAGCATTTTTCAATATCGGACAATACCGTATTTAACCGGAACGAATAAATCTACCTACAGACAATACCTGCTCTTCGTAGTTTGAAGAACGCTTCATATGCGCGTGGCTACAAGAGATATAACTCTCTTCCGCACAATAAAACAAATCTGTAAAAGCCTCGTAAAGATAAAAAGATACGCCAAATGTATAAGAAAATTCTCTAAACAAAAAAAATAAACCTTTAAAAGTATAAACTTCTGAAAATATAAGAATCTAAACATAAAAAAAATCTTTAAAAATATAAAAAAAATTCTTAATATTTCAGTTTATCTTAATTATAGAAATGCTGATCACTTAATTATCTGAAAGTTTCCTAAAAAGTTAGCGCCCAAAAACCTCTGAAATCACGGTTATTTTTTACATTTTTGCAAATATCAGGGAAAGTATGCATGTTTTAACAAAAGGTACTGAAACAAAAGTTGTAGAAAATTAAATTATCTTTCAAATGAGATCAAAGTGATTGTAGTTCGCTCCATAGGTTTTGAAATA